AAGCGGAGAGGATTTTCGAAATGAAATTGGCCTGGTCCGGAGAAGAAGAAGAAAAAAAAAAATTGCTCGAGTGTGTAGAAGCAGAGATATTTCTCAGATTCCTAACAGCGTCCTTCCTATTGGACAAAGATTTTAGCTCGTAGATTTCCAAAGTGAGAATTGTCCTGTCCCAAGGACATGTACAGCATCGATCGAGTATTTCATTTCCCTCTCTCTGTTCTGCAGTCCGAGCCCGTCAACAGCGTGAACGAGCTCGACGACGAGGACGTCGACGAACAACAGCCGCAACAGTCCGGCGAGTACTACGTGGCCCTTCCCGATGGCCGTCTGCAACGCGTACGTTACGTCAGCCGTCAGAACATCGAGGCGATGAAGTACTTCGCCAAGATCCGCGCGGAGAACGTGGAACCTCTCCGCGGGCCCATCTACGCGTACGCCCCCCTGCAAAAGTTGCAGATCGTGCCAGCTGGACTGCAACTGTCCGTCGCTCCGGTTTCCTCGATCGCACCGCAAGCACCGTCGGCAGCCGACTCGAAGCCGCAAAAATTGGAGATTCAACCGGTCGCGACGCAAGTGCAGTATCAGTACGACAATCCCGCCGGAGTGCTCCCGTTGGCCGCATACGCTGGATCCAGCGACTCTAGATACCTTCTAACCTTGCCGTAACTCAAAATTTGTAACCTTACTTGTAAGCTGACGAGGACCTGACCGCGTGCCCCCGAGGTCCTGAATTTGAAACTAACTTTAAGAAGATTGTAAATGCAAAGCGCGAAAGAAGTAACAAGGATTACGATATTAACGAGCAAATGCTGACTGTTGTTGACTTGAGAACATCCTTCCTGCTCTCCGTATGCCTGCTCTGTTATCTCGTATACCTTCGAGTACGAGATCTGCTGTCTAATGCAATTGAAAACCTCGATCGCACCGGCAGCACCGTCGGCCAACTCGAAGCCGCAAAAATTGCAGATTCAACCAGTCGCGACGCAAGTGCAGTATCAGTACGACGGAGTGCTCCCGTTGGCCGCATATGCTGGATCCAGCGACTCTAGATACCTTCTAACCTTGCCGTAACTCAAACTTCTTTGGAGAATTTTGTAACCTTACTTGTAAGCTGACGAGGAC